CACACTGTCCCCACCACTGTCCCAGTGTCCTCGCTGTCCCCACCACTCTCCCCACTGTACCACTGTCCCACCACCGTCCTCACCACCGCCCTCACCACTGTCCCCACCACCACCGTCCCTACCACTGTCCCACTGCTGTCCCCACCACCACCGTCCCCACCACTGTCCAACTGTCTCCGTTGCCCCCACCACTGACCCACAGTCCCCACAGTCTTCACCTCTGTCCCCACTGTCCCAGCCAGTGCCCCCACCACGGTTCCACTCTTCCCACTGCCCCCACTCCCCACCACCGTCCTAACCACTGTCCCCACCAGTCCCCCATCTGGAGTGGGAGAGGACGGGGAGTCGCTGCGGCAAGGGGGGGGAGGGGGGGGAGGGGGTTCGAACCCGTAGTGACCCCCCCCGTTTTCCAGGATGGGTGGGTGGGAAGGGGTTCGAACCGGTAGTGACCCCCCCCCTTTTCATGATGGACGGGGGGGGATGGGGGGGCTGGAAGCCCCAGTGATCCCCCCCTCCCGGTTTTCGAGAGGAGGGGGGGGGGTACGGGTCGGGAACCCCCAGTGACCCTCCCCCCCGTTTTGTGCCAGCAACGGCAGAACACGCTCTTTCGGTGATGACAATGTGGGTGATGAGGATGATGATGATTGTGATGATGATGACGATGGTAATGATGATGATGCTCATGCTGATGCTGCTGCTGATGATGATGCTGATGCTGATGCTGATGCTGCTGCTGCTGATGATGATGCTGATGCTGATGCTGATGATGATGATGATGATGATGATGATGGTGGTGGTGGTGGTGATGATGATGATGATGCTGATGGTGCTGATGAAGCAGATGATGGTGCTGATGATGTTGATGATGAGGTGATTGTGATGAGAAGGAGGATGCGGAGGAGGAGGAGGAGGATAATGATGATGGTGCTGGTGATGATGATGTTGATGATGATGATGATGATGATGCTGATGAGGATGGAAGCAGGGAGGGAGTAGGAAGAGGGATGTTGGAGGGAGGAGCCGGATGAAGTGGATGAGGGGGAGGATAAGGTGGAAAAGCGGGATCATCTTGAGGTGGATATTCATGTTATTGATGCTGCCCGCAGTGATACCACTGGTGACGATGACGACGAGGGTGATGACAACGGTTGATGGTTGATGCAGCATGGGTGGGCATGATAACGATGATGATGGTGATGACAACGATGCACGGGTGGGGATGATAACGATGATGATGGTGATGACAACGATGACCAGGAGGTGTCGCGATTGCGGTCACGGTGAGCACGCGGTTACCAATTGCAAGAGTGGGCGCAGTTGCAAATTCAGATCAGCACGCCAGTTTGTCGTAGTCGACCGGGAGCGCGTCTACTTGCAATACTTAGATCAACAAGACGTTGAGTAAAGACCAATGACTAATTGCAGTAATTCCCACTTGACCCCAACCAGCTTCAAATAACACGCAGCGATGCCGAAGACTGCTGCCAAGGTACATCATATCATAATAGTACCGCCCAGTCGCTACGCACACGTGCCCACGGGGTCCACAGCCCACGGTAAGACATCCCCGCACAAGAGCCAGCATCGAACATCTTCCATACCGCGCCATGAAGAAGAATAATGATAAGAATAAGAAGGATGATAAGTCAGGGCATGGGCCGCCTCCAAGCGGCTTTGTAACATCCCGTTGCCAGCACACCAAACGGCCTTGGTCCCTGCCGACGAGCAGGGGCCGCGGCACAGGCTTTGGCTGGCCCTCACTCACCCCACACATGTTTCCGCAGCCACACGCCCCGGTCGGCCATCTGATGCGCTGAACGACGACGCGGAGGACCTGCAGCAGGCATGGGAACCGCGTGCGAGGAAGACGCCGAAGCGCACCGCCGAGCACAGCACGACGCCAGAGCCCGCCGTGCGGACGCGCCCCAAGACGGCAGCACGCACCTCGAGCTTCGTGCCGGTGCCCTCTAGGCCTCCTGGACGGGGTCGTAGTAGATGGGGTCGGAGGATCGTGCCACATCGCCAATGCATCGGCGATGCATCAGCGATGCGGCTTGATGTGGGACCCAATTTTCTCAACGCCGACGTCGCCGATGCATCGCCGACGTCGCCAGTGCATCGCCGATGCATCGCCGATACATCGCCGATGCATCGCCGATGTATTGCCGATGTATCGGCGATGCGGCGAGATCCTTCGACCCCATCTACTCGGACCCCATCTAGGAGGCCTCTATGCCCCTGGCCAGCGCGAGCACCTGCGCGCCCCGCCGCCCGCAAACACCAGGAAGCTCGGCACCCCGAGCGCAGCGTGAGCAGACGGGAGCGCGGGCGGCAGCACCGTGCGCACGAAGGTGGAGAGGGGAACGGATTCGGCCCGGCGTCGCCTGGAGCACCGGGGCCTCAAGCGGCATCGGAAAAGAGGGGGGTGATGACTAGGGGGGGGTGGATTTCATGTTCATGGCGCGGGCCATGGTTTTTCCCGAGATTTCACGGCGCCTCTTCTTATTTCATTACGTCCCAGGCCCCCCCTGGGCCGCGCACATGCCGCCGGTCATGATTTGCACCCCCCCCTCTGGGACACCCCCCTCTTTGCCGCCCCCGATTCAAGCGGCAGAGGACAACGCGCCATCCCACATCGAGCCCCCGGGACGTCGACCGGGCGGCGTTGCAGGTGGCCCTTCGAGCCACCGTGGCCTGAGAGATTGGGAGGAGGTGGACCAGGGGGAGGATGGCGAGGAAGATGTGGAGGCAGGGATGCGGCGAGGCCATCCAGCAAGAAGTCTGGCACCGCAGACGACGCTGACCAGGGGCCCTCGGCCAAGGGCAAGAAGGGTAAGAAGGCTCGCCACCCCTCCCCGCGCGCGACGCTTCAGCAGGACAGGCCGTCATGCTTACCGTCGTCGGCGCCCTCCTCCGATGGCGCCCATTCCCCAAACAGTGCTTGCACGTATATAGGGGTTCTTACTTGTCGTCGGCGATCGAGGGGGGGAAATATGCAGGACCAGGCCTTCTCAGAAGGCGGCGGGACTTCTCAGACGCCCTCGCGCCTTCCGAGAAGCGTGTCTCAGAACACTTTCCAGGATGTCGGGGGACGTCCGAGCCTTCTGAGAAGGCCTTCTCCCTCTCGCTTCCTCCTCTCTCTCGCCGCCGAGCTTGTGCTCTAAGGAATTTTCCCCGAGTGGCTGTCTGGCGGCCATGCTGTCGCCGTCGCCGCCTCGTCGCCCCCCGACGTCTGGGCCTGAAATGGCGGTCTGGCGGCTACGTTGTCGCCGCGCCTGTTCGGTCCCCGCCACAGGTTACCCCACATAGACTGCACCACATAGACTGCACAACAGAGATTGCACCACATACACACGTATATGTATATATATATACACATATGAATGATTAGTTCCCTCTCGATATATGTATGTGTATATATATATATATACATACATACATTGCACTATCGGTTGCACACCATACACTGTACAACATACACTGCACAACAGATATTGCACCGCATTGATTGGCAACATGGATTGCGCAGCACATACTGCACAACGTATACTCCCCTTGCGAGCATGATCGACCCACGAACCCAGAAAAGGGATTTAGATCTGCGAGGCATGGGAACGTTTCAAAGGACCTCAATTCTTTACGCTTCGCGTATCCCCACCAGCCCATCTCACAGCAGCAACTCTTGCGAAGCATGCCGACAGTCGTGTTTTTCAGGCGTGTGTCCGCTTGGTCCCGCATATCTCCCCTGTTCCTCCTTCCTCCCGCCTCCTTGTACATCCTCCTTGTGGGGGGAGCGGGAGAAGGACGAGGCGGAGGAGGAGGGAGAGAAAGCGCTCCTCGTGATTTGAGTCGTTTGGGGTTTCTCGTCCTGGTGTGAGTCGTTCGGGCCCTTCTTCCTGGTGTGAGTCGTTCGGGCTCTTCGTGGTGTGAGTCGTTCGGGCTCTTCGTCCTGGTGTGAGTCGTTCGGGCTTCTCGTGGTGTGAGTCGTTCGGGGCCCGCGTCGTGGTGTGAGTCGTTCGGGCTCCTCGTGGTGTGAGTCGTTCGGGCGCCTCGTCCTGGTGTGAGTCGTTCGGGCCCTTCCTTGTGGTGTGAGTCGTTTGGGCTCCTCGTGGTGTGAGTCGTTGGGGTCTCTCGTCCTGGTGTGAGTCGTTTGAGCTCCTCGTGGGGCCTGTTGGGGGCCTCTTGGAGCCTCATGGGGCGTCTTGGGGACCTCTTGGGAGCCTCTTTGGGGCGTCTTGGGGGCCTCTTGGGGCCTCTTGGGGCCTCTTGGGGGCCTCTTGGGAGCCTGTTGGGGACCTCTTGGGGCCTCTTGGGGGCCTCTTGGGGGCCTCCTGGAGGCCTCTTGCAAGCCTCCTGGGGGCCTCTTGGGTCCATCTTGGAGCCTCTTGCGACCTCCTCAGAAGCGCAAATGAGCGCTGCCCCCTGATTTGACCAAACTGAGCCCAACACCTTTGTAAACTCAATGATTTTGCTTTGACGGAAGGGGAACGCGGCCCCCTCTGAAGGCCAAAATGGAGCCAAAACCGTAGTAAAATCAATGTTTTTTGTTTCAAAGACGAGCTGAGGCACCAAACTCCCCCCCCCCCCCTCGGGGCCAGAATCCTCGTGAGGGTCGTCGTTTTTTGGCCCTCCCAGGCGTCGAAAAAGACCCCCCTGACGACGCTCGGAACTCCCTCTCCAGGTCCAGGGGGAGGGGGTAGGGGGAGGGGTAAACCCTTCCCCGAAGGGGAAGAAGGGGGGTTGAGGACAGAGAGAGCTCCCTAAACCACTCACGCCCAAAGGGCTGGTGGGATTGGGCGATGGGTAGTGGCAATCCTGAAGATATCGATGGTGATGATACCGTGCCACGGGCTATGTTGTGCTGCGTTGCGCTATGCCGTGCCGCACAGAGACGCGCCAGGGGACGCGGGGGACGTGTCGCGGAACGTCCCAAGGGACGCGCCAGGGGACGTGCCAGGGGACGTGCCAGGGGACGCGCCATGGGGACGCGCCATGGGGACGCACCGCGGGACGTGCCAAGAGGATGCGCCACGGAACGTGTCAGTGGACGTGCCTTGGGACGTGTCGGGGAACGTGCGACGGGACGTGCCAAGGGACGTGCCATGGGACGTGCCAGGGGGAGGCGCCAGTGGACGTGCCAGGGGACGCGTCAGGGACCGACGTGCCAAGGGACACGCCGCGGATCATGTAGAGCCCGCTAGGATCTCCGCGCTCCGTTATTAGTCGAGATGTCACGGGCCACGCGATCCCTTGTAAATGACGTTGCGTCCGCGCTTCCTGTGCTACGATCCATCGCAAAATCTTGCTGGGGCCTCACTCCCAGTGTCACGATCAATGGTAAGTGACGCAGCGCCCGCGCTCCCAGTGCCACGTCCCCTGGTAAAATTACGCTCGGTCCCTGGAACATGGAGCGTCATACCTAAGGTATGCAGATGGTACTCTGACGGCACGTCGAGCCATTTGTTAAGGAACGCCGAAGGTACGCGGTTCCCGTATTTTTGCTTATAAGAAAATGTTATTGAAGATACGCCGAAGGTCTGGTGGAAGCACCCGCGTCAAAATCAGTCACGGTACCCTGAATGCACGCAGACGATCGACAGGAGCGGGAGGGGGAGATGACAGACCCCCAACTCCCCCCGCCCCCCACGACCCTCGCTCCCCCGAACCCCGCGGATCCAGAAAGAGGCCACACGCGATGGACCAAGACACGAACGCAGTACAGCGGAGCCGCGCCCCCAGAGCCGCGATCACGCGTAAATCGCGCTGCGCCCGCGCTGCCAGGGCCGCGATCCGTCGTGCATTGCGCTGCCTCCGCGCTCCCAGGGCCACGACACCTTGTACACATTATGCTGGGTACGCGCTCCTGGCGCAACGATCCCCCGTACATCACTCCCAGGGCCACGATCCACTGTAAATTACGCAGGGTTCGCGCTCCCAGGGCCACGACCCCGCGTACATTACGCTGCGTCCGCGCCACCAGGGCCACGATTCCTCGTGCATTGCCCTGTCCGCGCCCCCAGGGCCAGGATCCACTGTAAGTTACGTTGAGTTCGCGCTCTCGGGGCCACGATCCATAGTAAAACGCGCTGGGTTCGCGCTCACGGAGCAAATATGCATTGTAAATTACGCTGGGTTCGCGCTCCGAGGGCCACGATCCCCAGTAAATTCCGCTGCGTCCACGCTTCCCTTGTGAATTGCGCTGGTTCCGAGCTCCCAAAGAACACGATCCCTCGCCAACTGCGCTGCGTCCGCGCTCCCAGGGTCACGAAGCACCGCGCGGAGGTTGCCCAAACGGACACCCCATACTTTTCTGCATTTGGATCTGTGTACGGGGGGCGCTTCTGGGCCCCCCCCCGCCATTTCCTGAAATTCAAGCGCTAGACCCGAAGCAGCGAGTCCTTCTATATTAAGCTGCGTCCGCGCGCCCACTGCTGCATCCTTCGCGCATTACGCTGGTTTCGCGCTCTCAAGACCACGGCCCCGCGTACATTGCATTGAATTCGCGCTCCCGGGGCCGCGACCCTTTGCACATTGCCCAGTATTCGCGCATCCAGGGCCACGATCCCTCGTACATTACGCTGGGTTCGCGCTCCGAGGGCCACGAGCTCTCGTAAATTCTATTTTCGCGCTCTCAGGGCCACGATCCGTTGTAAATTACGCTGCGTCCGTGCTCCCAGAGCCAGGACCCCTAGTCAATTACATCGTGTCCGCGCCCCTAGGGCCAGGATCACATGTTAGTTAGTTGCCCGCGCCTCCAAGGCAATGATCCCTCGTCAGTTGCGCTGCGTCCGCGCTCTCGGGGCAAGGATCCCTTGCAAATGGCAGCCCGACCGCACTCCCAAAACCTTGGCATCCTGGGGCGTCCAGGCCTTTCGAGCGCTGCGAGACGAGCGTTTCGCCCGAGACATGATCGGATATTCGGAACGCAGGGCGCACCATCCTCGAGCGGTCATGCAAACAGTTTACACTTCTTATGCTCAGGAGGGAGAGAAACACACAGACACAATTAATCGTCGACTTCCACGAAAATATGGGAAACTAAGGGAAGTGGCGAGGACGACAAAATCCCAGAACATATAGGAAAATATAGGGAATCCTGTTATTTGTGTGTATTTGTTTGTGCGTCCCTGGGCTTAACAACAAAAACAAGCGAGGCCTCGAGGCCTCCTCGTAATTCCTGCGGGCAGGACGTGCCATCCTCAAGCGGGCAGGCGAAAAGCGAGTTCTTCAATATTTCAGGTAAGAAGTCTACGCTTAAGTCGGGCTTGTCCCTCTACAGGAGGAATATTCAAACATAGTTACAATTATAGTCTGGGGACGTTTTTTTGATTATTTCTTGATTAGTTGGGTGTATTTGTGGGGTAGTTTATATTTGTTGTCCACAATCCGCCTGTGCAGGGGGACACGCCCGACCTAAGTCTAGGGTCTCCGAACCTCGTTATTTGGTGGGGACTGTGCGCAACACGCTCTGCACCCTTTTGTGTACTCAGGAAAGCCTTGGGTCTGCGGACCCCGTTGGGCAGCGAGGATCCGAGATGGGGGGCACGTTTTCCTCTAGCGGGCTCGCGCGAAATGCAGTGAACCCAACGCCGAGTGGGATTTTCCTAGGTTGCTTGTCGAACCGGAATTCGCTGGCCCACCTCAGCATGGAACCGGGAGAGCTTACCATCTAAAAGAGAATTCCGGGACCGTGCCTTTGCCCGGCAAAAGGAATTCGGATCTACCCCCCCTCCTCGGGTTATCGGGCCCCCTAGGGGATGTGCAATTTACATATGGTCTGCCCCGCCGTTCATTCTAAGCATGCGCGCTTGTATTTCAACAATCGCCAATTTGCAAGAATCCCCGGCATCCAATGTGACAATGTCCATACGCGCGCGTCGGCCGCGCGCGCATGCCGAAACCTTGCCAAATCCTTCATCATAGACGCGTGTACACCATCATCGTAAATTGCGTGATCAGCATCGGTGCCGTCATTGGACGTGTCGCCGTCATCATCATCATCATCATCATCATCATCATCATCATCATCATCATCATCATCATCATTACCATCGCTACTCTCATCATCGTGTCAGCTGTTATCGACTTTGCCATGATACCGCACCCGCCCGAGTTACCGACTCGCACCGAAGTGCCTGCGAGACGCGCTGGGAAGTTCCCAACGGTCAGCGCCATCGCGGCCGCGTCGGTCGCGCCAGACTCGCTGGCCGCTCTGCGGGAGAGCCTGCGAGCGCGAGCGCGGCCGCGGCGGCGTGCAAGCCAGCGACACGCTTTTCCAAACCGGTTGCGGGTGGGTGGGTGGGAGTTGACGGCTACTTGTAGCACACATTCTATCGTAGAACTATATTGGTCCGCATCGATTGCACAACATCGGTTGCATTACATGTATTATTGCCCCAATGCATTGTAACATCGAGTGCACCATTGACATTGTTTCACACCATGAGGTTGCGCAACATAAGGTTGTACAATATAGATTGCACCACATGCATTGCACCTCGCAGACATTTCCCATAATTACGCTGTACAACCAACATTACTTCACACATAAAGCGCACCATGTATGTTTCTATCGATTGCGCAACAGAAATTGTTCATCATAGGTTGCACAATATAGAATGCACCACGCATATTGCACAACAAAGACATCACGCACATTACACAACGTAGATTGCACAACCTAGCGCGCAACAAAGACACTACATAGATAGCTCCACAACGATTGGACACCATCCCCATTTAGTGTCCGAGAATGATTAGTTGTTGTTTTTGTGTGTGTGTGTGTGGGTGTGGGGGGGGGAGCACGCTGGCTAACAAGTTCTGGAAGGCGCCGCTATCGTGTTTACGGCAAGGGTCAGTCGCAGCAGAGTGGGTCTAGCATGATGGCGTTCGTCTGATAGTATTGGGCTTGTTTTGATTTTCCATTCATGCTTGACCACCAGCCTTACATCCGCATCGTTGCTTGGGGGACGGGGAAGGCTCTTGGGTCCCAACCTTGCGTAAGAAGCGATGCCTTTAAAGTGGCCGAGCGCGTCAGGAAGACTGCATTCGAAAACGACATGCGTTTCAGAGGGCGAGGAGGAGGAGAGGGTGGAGGACGAGGAGGATTCCCTGTGTCTCTGGACGTGTGCGTGCCGCAGGCGATGTAGGTTACGACCGAGCAGAGAGCGCTCGGGCAACTTGGATGCGCTTCTCTGCCTCTGTCCTCGTACCTCGTCCTCCTCCTCGTCCTCGTCCTCCTCCTCTTCCTCCTCCTTCTCCTCCTCCTCCTCCTCCCCGTCCCCGTCCCCATCCTCCTCCCCCGTCCCCGTCCTCCCTCCTCCCTCCTCCCTCCTCCTCCTCCTCCTCCTCCTCCTCCTCCTCCTCCTCCTCCTCTTCCTCCCTTCTCCTCCTTCCCGTCCCCGTACCCGTCCCCATCCTCCTCCCCCAGCCCCGTCCTCCTCTTCCTCCTCCTCCTCCTCCTCCTCTTCCTCCTCATCCCCGTCCCCGTCCCCGTCCCCGTCCTCCTCGTCCTCCTCATCGTCCTCCTTGACGTCGTCGTGCAGCGGGAGGGCGGCTCGCCCCGACCCAGCCCGCCGCGCCGCGGCCCGCGCAGGGGCCCCCACCGCCGTCGCCGATACCCGACCTCACAGAGCTGCCGGCCATCGAGGAGTCCATCCTCGCCTCCGCCTCCTCCTCGTGGATCCTTCTCCTCCGCCTCCTCATCGTTGCTCTTCCTCCTCGATCCTGCTCTCTCCTTGACACTCCTCCTCCTCCTCCTCGTCCTCCTCCTCCTCCGCCCCCTCCTCGATCCTCCTCCTCCTCCTCATCATCCTCCTCATCCCCCTCCCCCCCCTCCTCCCCCTCCTCCTCCTCCTCCTTCTCCTCCTCCTCCTCCACCTCCGCCTTCTCCTCCTCCTCCGCCTCCCCCTCCCTCCTCCTGGTCCTCCATCCTCGATTGTCCGCCCCCTCTTTCCTTGATCCTCCCCCTCGAGACCCGTCTTCACAGAGCTGCGGGCTATCGAGGGGTCACGTGCCGCGCTGGGGGCTCGTCCGCCCCCGCTCCGCTTCGGTTCCTGCGGGTTCGGGGAATTCGGGGTTCTCGTGCGTTTTCGCCAGCTCAAGGCGGTGTTCCAGTCACGGGGCTCTTTCTGACAGCTGCGCCTCGCCGAGGACGTTCAGGGGGCAGCCTCGGGATGCTTTCTTGCAGCTGCGCCCCGCCGAGGGCATTCTGGGGGTGACCGAACCGGGCCAAGGTACAACCCGAAAATCGGAGACCCGCCCGCCCGCCCCCTTTCGCTTCTGCAGCCAAGACGCTGAAGTAAGGAACGCGTCGGGTTCTGCTCGCTCTCTCCTCTTCTGCCCTGTGGTCGAAAGAGCTTCGTTCCTCACTTGGCGTTCCTTATGGTCGAAGCGTGAGAGTATTCCGTCGGGTTGGACGAGAGGGAGATCTTGGGAGGCATCTGTCTCTCTTTTCCTTTTTCCCCTCGCTTTTTTTCTCTCGCCCTCTCCCACCCGAGCCCTTTCTCGACGAGCCCTTTTTTCGGGTTCCGACGAGCCCTTCTTTCCGGTCTCGACGGGCCTTTTTTTCCCCTCGCCCTCTCCCAGACGACGCTCGTCGGAATGCCCGCTCGCTCGCTCGCTCCTCTCGCCTGCCGCCTCCCTCTCCTCCCGCGCCCTGCCTTCTCCTCGCCCTCGTCTTTCTCCCTCTTGCCTTCAGGGGCGACGTCAGGGCGTCCGAGGCGGGAATTTATCGATATCCACCGCCTGGAGGGTCAGTTTTCGGAGCCTCGGCAGGCGGTGGATCTGGACACATTCGGGCCCCCCTGGGGGCCGAACTAAATCCATATCCACGGCCCGCTGGGGCACCAGGACGTCGGTTCCCGGGCGGTAAAAATATGGATAAATCCCCGCCTCGCAGGGCGGGACAGGCTCAGGGTCCACGCTGGACGCTCCAATCACGCGCGGCCAGGCCCGTCCAGACCCAGGGTCACAAACGGGGCATGGGGCAGAGAGACCGCCCCCCCTAAGGGAAAGAGGATGTTGGCATACACCTTAGGCGATGCTTAAGACAACTTGAATTTTCGGCCAGAGTCTCGATGATTCTTAATGTTTCAATGCAAATCCTAAGAGTTGTATGGACATTTTGGGTTTTTATTCAAGTTCTGAGACTATGAATTTCTTAACCCATGATTTCTTAAGCATTTCGCAGGGTGTAAGTCACTCGTGAGGCTGGTGGGATGTCAGTTCTGGCAGCAGCTGAGGAGAGAGCAACGTCGATGCGGTGGGGTACGCATGCCTTGTGCGAATAGCCCGCCGCCACGGCGAATCCCTCTACACCTTAGGCGATGCTTAAGAAAACTTAAGTTTTCGGCCAGAGTCTCGATTATTCTTAACGCTTCAATGTAAATCTTAAGTTTTTAATGGGAATGTTGGGTTTTTATTCAAGTTCTGAGACAATGAATTTCTTAACCCATGATTTCTTAAGCATTTCGCAGGGTGTACGCATGCCTTGTGCGAATAGCCCGCCGCCACGGCGAATCCCTCTACGTCGATGTCCACTGTGCGTGCGGGCACGGTGCTCGATGTGGAATGCGCGAGCCGTGGATCGCTTTGGACGCATGTGGGGAGGGCCGACACCCAGGCGCTCCCCGTGAGTTCAGCTGCTTTTGAATCCAAATCTGGGTATCGCTCCTTATCGTAGGAGGCAGCAAGCGGGAACGAGAGCCATCGGTGCCGCGTGGTATGCGTGCCTTTACGGACCGCCGCACGCCGCAGGGGGTACGCGTTGGCACGGTGCTCGAAGGGGAAGGCGGCTGCACGGATGCAGTTGGGCTCCTTTTCGGAGCGAGGTTATCGTTTGCGCAGTGTTATTCGCCAGCACGGTGCAATGTCGTTATTTCATCGTTTCGCTCATTCCGCCGCCCCATATTGCCTCGCCGCTGTCGTTTGTCGGGGTGCTGTTGTCGAGGCGGTGCCGTTGGGCGGCTGCCATTTTTCGGAGGCGGGTGGCAGTGGGTCAGGTGCCTCATGTGTGTTGCTCGCTACAGCGATGCAGTGCTTTGTTGTTGTTTCTTGTGGTTTTCCGAAGCGGGTTCCTCGCCTGAAGCGTAGGCACATAGGGTGTTGGTCTTTCAGGGGGGCGCTTTTGGCGGCGAGACATTTTGCCTGTTGAGATGCAGGAGGAGGGGACCGAGGACGAGAGGGCGTATTGCAGCATCGTTCCTCAAGCTTCGGCTTCCTCTGGTCCCTGACCCTCCTCCTGTTCTCGCGCTCCCTCCTCCCTCTCGTCCTCCTCCTCCTTCACCCTGCTCCTTCAACTCCCTGCCCATCCATCTCTCCGCCCTCCCTTCCTCCCTTCCTTTCCCTCCCTCCCCTCCCCTCCTCCCTCCCTCCTTCCCTGCCCCTCCCGTTCCCTTCCAGCCCCCCCCCTCCCCCCCCCCTGCGGCGGCACCAGCGGCGCGCGTGACCCTTGCCTGCGCGAGCGCAGGACGCCTCCACTGCCCTCCTGGATGCGGAAGGCGCCCGCGCCAACCTGCAGCATATGCACGGGGGGGGGAGGAGGAGGAGGAGGAGGAGGAGGAGGAGGAGGAGGAGGAGGAGGAGGAGGAGGAGGAGGCGGAGGCGGAGGCGGAGGAGGAGGAGGAGGCGGTAGAGGAGGAGGAGGAGGAGGCGGAGGAGGAGGAGGGGGAGGAGGAGGAGGAGGGGAAGGAGGAGGAGGAGGAGGCGGAGGAGGAGGAGGAGGACCAGTGTAAACCCAAGAGTCATCAGCGATGTTGGAATGAACCCTCCCTCCAAGCTCCCTCTTCGCAGGCCCATACAACGGTTCATTTCCATTGAGAGAGCTGCCTCGTTGGAAGACAACCGTTTGAAGGTCCTGAAGCGTGCCAACACATTGCTTTCGGGATTCCAACGCCACGTATCAACCTGACTGCTGCGACTTGACGATCCAAAATCGTACCAGAACGCCATTGTTGAGACTTCAGCACCGCGAATCAACATCATTGGTGCGCCCGCATAATCCTGAATCCTTCCAACGCGCTATTTCTGGCACGCTGGTCATGTGAATGCGTGAAACTCTTGCAAACGTTCACAACGAATGTGCGCGGCGCTACAAGGCGAGAGCCACATTTCGAAACGGAACCGCCCTCAATCCGTGACGCTCTTGCGAAGTTTTACGTCGACTGTGCGCGGCGCTAAGGCGAGAACCACATTTCGGAAACGACCCGCCCTCTATCCGTGAAGTTCCTGCACATGTTTAAAGCGAATGTGCGCGGCGCTAAAAGGCAAGAGCCACATTTCGAAACAGAACCGCCCTCAATCCGTGAAGCTCTTGCAAAGTTTTAAAACGAATGTGCGCGAAGCTAATGCGACAGCCACATTCAGAAAACCTCCCGCCTCCAATCCGTGAAGCTCTTCCAATTGTTTATGCGAATGTGCGCGGCGCTAAGACGAGAGCCACATTTTGAAACCGACCCGCCCTCAATCTGTGAAACTGTTTTCACTGTGTAAGCTTCAGAATCATAAATGGTGAGGAAGTCTCAGGCAAAACTCCCAGCCCGCCCTAAAAACTGGCCTCGGGGTGCGAGGGGGAGAAGATATTTACAAGGAGAAGTAATGGAGCAGGAGGAGGGGAAGGAACATACGAATCACGGAGGACGGGAGGGACGTGGAGGTAGGGGGGTGGTGGCGGCGGCGGACTGGAATGGGCGTTCAATCCGTTCTCAATCGGTGCTCAAACAGAGCCCATGAAGCAGGTCGAGGGAAAGAATACTCACGCTGACGACGACTTGGGGAAACGAGAGTTAGTGTTCTGGCCACAGGATGGCCTAGAACGAGGGAACCCCGCGCCTGCGGCCCTTCTCTCTCGCAGCAGCTCGGTTGGCTTGGATACGAGCTTCCTGCGAAGCTGTGGGGACGAGTGGGTGAGGCTGAGGCGGAGGCCAAGCAGGAGGAGGGGGGGAACCGCATCCTCATGCAGCTCGGGCCTGGCCTCGCTGGGCTGGGCGTCGGGGCACGACGCCGGGGCCCCGCCAGTCCCTCGCGCCTCGGCGGTGGAGGGGGAGGGGGAGGGGGGGGGGGGGCTTTCTGGAAGCCGGAGGGGGAAGGAGGGAGCAGGGGGAGGAGGGGGGAAGGAGGGAGGAAGGGAAGGGAGGAGGAAGGAGGAGGGCAGAGAGAGGAGGGAGGACGGATGGGGGAGAAGGAGGAGGAGGACGAAGATGAGGAGGGGGAGGAGGAGGAAAAGGAGGGACCAGAGTAAAACCAACATGGATCAACGACGCGCGCCCTGCCCTGCTGTCCTTGCCCGCCCCTTGCCGTTGTCGTCGCTGTCCTCCTCGCTGCCCTGGCGCCATCACCTTCGCCACCGTCGTTGTCGTCGTCGTGGCCCTTCGTCCTTGCTCCGTCGTGGGCGTCCTGATCGCTGTCTTGGTGCCTAAGAGTGGCCGTTTGGGCCATATGGGGTTATCCGCGCGGCGCCCTTGCCCCTTCGCCTCGTCCTCCCCCTCACTCCTCGTCCTCCTCGTAGGCTTTCGTTTGCATTTGCGGGCCAAATTTCGTGGCATTCTCGTTGCGCGGTGGCGCGCCGAGATACGATGTGGCTGTTTTCTCTTACGTGCTCATGTGCCATTCCAAAAAAAAAAAACAACCCTTCCAACCTCCCCCAGTCCCTCCCGCCTCCCTCCTCCCCGCTTCGCTCCCGAGTTTTACTTTTTTTTCCCCATGACATCCCATCTCCTCTTGGCCGTCTCGTTCGAAGCGAGCTACGGATGGCCTCCCCCGCGACATCTTGAATGTCAAACCCCGAGGGCCTCCTTAGTTCGCGGCGAGCCCCGCAAAACGGCGGGGGAGGATGATGGGGGATGGGGAGGAATACCAAACGCAGGAGGAGGAAGAGGAGGAGACAGTGTGGTGCGCACGGGCGCTGTGGCGCACACGCCTGTTGCACTGTACGAAAACACTGCGGCGTACGCGGGCGACGTGGTGAGGGTTTCCGCGGTCACGTGGCGGGCCCCGCAGGAAAAAAATGTTCGCAAGCTACTGATGTGCCCGTTGGCACGTTTTGTTGTAGGCAGGCGTTGTGGTGCACAGAAGCATTGTGGCGTGCGCAGGGCCTGTGGTGCACATGGTTGCTGGTGTGCGCGCGGGCCATAAGCGCGCTGGCGCACGCAGGCAATGTGGTGTACGCAGGCGTTGTTGTGCACACGGTTGCTGCAGTATACACAGATACTGCGGCGTACATGGGCGACGTGGTGGCGTTGTGCACGCAGTGTTGTGGTGCGCCGAAACATTGTGGTGCAGTCAGGCGGCGTTGTCTTGCACGAGGGCATTTGGCATTGTCGCGTGCACAGGGGTTGCAGCGATCGCGGGCAATTGATGTGTGTGCCGATGGCGCGGACGCACCCTGGCGGGCGCGCGCCGCGGCCGCCGTTACGGGTACCCATCGGCCCAGACCGCCCCCCCCCCGGGTAACAACCGCTACCCAAAATGATATCATGTATCTCCTGAAGAAGCATTTCTGCAGCCTCCTGGGCGCCTCTTGAGCGTTTGTTGGGCCTCTCTCAGGTTGTGGTGTTGGTGGTGGGCTGTGGTGGTGTTGGTGGTGGTTGTTGCGGTGGCGGTGGTGTTGGTGGTGTTGGTGTGGTTGGTGGTTGTGGTTGTGGTTGTGGTGGTGGTGGCACGTTGTGGTGGGTGTGGCGGTGGTGGGTGTGGTGGTGCGGTGGTTTCTGGTGGTGGTGGTGGTAGTTGTGGTGGTGGTGGTGGGGGTGGGCTGTGGTGGTGGTGGTGGCGGTGGTGGTGTGGTGGTTTGTCGTGGTGTTTGTGGTGGTGGTTGTGGTGGTGGTGGTGGTGGGTTGTGGCGGTGGTGGTGGCGGTGGTGGTGGTTGTGGTGGTGGTGGTGGTTTGTTGTGATGGCGGTGGTGGTTGTGGTGGTGGTTGTTGTTGGTGGTGGTGGTAGTGGTGTGGTGGTTTGTGGTTGTGGTGGTGGTGGGTTGCGGTGGTGGTGGTGGTGGCGGTGGCGGTGGTGATGGTTGTGGTGGCGTTCGTGTGGTGGTTTGTTGTTGGGGTTGTGGTGGTGGTGGTTGTTATAGTGGTGGTGGTGGTGGGTGGTGGTGGTGGTGGTTTGGTGGTGGTGTGGTGGTGGCTTGTGGTGGTGGTGGGTTATGGGGTTATGGTGATGGTAGTTGTGGTGGCGGTGGTGGTGGTGGTTGTGGAGTGGTGTTTTGTGGTGGTGGTGGTTGTAGCCATGGTGGTGGCGGTGGTTTGTGGTGGTGGTGGTGGTGGTGGTGGTGGTTGTGGTGTGGTGGTTTGTTTTGGTGGTGGTGTGTTGTGCGGCTGGTAGTGGAAGTGGTTGTTGTTGTGGTGGTGGTGGTGGTGGTGGTGTGATAGATTGTGGTTGTGGTAATGGTGGTGGGTTGTTGTGGTGGTGGTGGTGGTGAGTTGTGGTGGTGGTGGTTGTGGTGGTGGTGGTGGTGGATGTGGTGGTGGTGGTGGTTGTGTGGTGGGCTGGTGGTGGTGGTGGTGGTGGGTTGAGGTGGTGGTGGTGGTGGTGGTGGCGGTGGTGGTGGTAGTGGCGTGGTGGTTTGTGTTGTTGGTGGTGGTGGTGGTGGGCTCTGGTGGGTGGTGGCGGGGGGTCGTAGTGGTAGCGGCGCTGGTGGTGGTGGTGGGTGGTGGGTGGTGGTGGCGGTGGTGGTTGTGGTGGTGGTGGTGTGGTGGTTTGTGGTGGTGGAGGTAAGTTGTGGTGATGGTTGTGGTTGTGGCGGTGGTGGTCATGGTGGTGGTAATGGTGGGGTGGCTTGTGGTGGTGCCCTCTCCTGGGCCCTCCCTGGTAATCGTCGCTGCGTCCCCGCCGTCGGCGCTGCTGACCGCTGCCAGCGCCAGCGCCGGCGCCAGCGCGGGAGAGGGGGGGGTTTGGGTTTCCCCCCCCGTTCCTCCTGGGCCTTCTCTGGTCATCGTCGTTGCGTCCCCGCCGTCGGCGCTGCTGGCGGCCGCCAGCACGGGCGCCGGCGCCGGCGCCGAGGGGGGGGGATTTCGGCAGGGGGGGGGGTACGGGGAGGGGAGTCCCCCCTGTTTCTGATCGACGGCGCCGAGTGTTTGGGGGCCCCCCCCCCGCGGCTCGAAACGCGCCGCCGAATGTTCCCAAGGCGAGCGCCCGTGAAACGCGCTCTCTCATCCTTAGGACATCCATTGGATCCCGTAGGGAACCCATCGGATTCTTTATGAAATCCATAAGATTCTTGAGGTAACTTTTCGGATTCCTCAGAAATCCGTAGGATCTTTAGGACATCTATAGGATTCCTTAGTACATCCGTAGGATGTCCTGAAGATTCCTACGGTTTTTCTAAAGAATCCCACCGATATTTGAAGAATTCCTTTTATACGTCGTAAGGAATCCATAGGAAACCTTGGGGCATCATTAGAAATCCAATGGAAGTTCGCAGGATTCTGTGGGACATCCATTGGATCCCTTAGGACATCAGTCGGAGTCCTGAGGAAATCCATGGGGGTCCTGAGGAAATCCATA